CCACCGCAGAGGTTTCTACACATGGTCTAGGGGGTAACATTTTAGCATGGATAGAGGAGGATTTGGTTAGCTAAGAGGAAGCAGAGATGGGCGTAACTGGGTCATCTTTGGACTGGAAAATTGTAATTAATGTGGTGCCAAAGGGATCAGTGTTGAGGCCTCATCTATGTACTATATCACAGCCTCTGCTTAGGTACCACCCGACTTTTGTTTTTGCATTGCGACTGGCCGACAGCCAATCACAACCCAAGTTCAGTTACCACCTGACTTGAATACCTACAATGGGAATGAATGTTTGGTAAGCTCACCATTCTGGCTGGACATATTCCAGGAGATGGTGGCAGAAGCAACATAATGGAAAATCGTGACACGATGTGGCATAAGCAGGTGAAACTAGAAAGAGGGATAGAAAAAAAAACTATGAAAATGTTAAGGCTCATCAAAAAGAGGGCGTATAATGGTACCTGAAAATGGGCCGTCAGTCTGTCCCTGCATTGGAGAAGATTGAGTACCTGAGTGCACACTAATTAATTGATCCTAGTGATGTAGAAAATGGAGTGGTACTTGAGTGTGAGTTGTGATTGGCAGATGGCCAGTCCTGACCACTTGCTGGAATGCTTGTTTGGCCACTGGTAGATTCATGCTGATTCGGAAGGATTAGAGAACGTTCAAGGGAGGTTTGGCAGCCATAATCTACCGTAGCAAAGTTTGCTAATGTGACAAATATAGATGGGAGAGCAAGTTATGCAGAGGATGCGAGGAGCCTACATAATAGGGATATAAATAGGTTGCGAGTAGGGAAAAAAGTAAGTATGATGTGGGAAAATGTGAATTTGCCCACATTGGCACCAAGGGTAGAAAATAAGTATACCATTGAAATGGAACATCACAGAAAAGGGATCTGTTTCTGGTACATGAATATCACAAAGTTGGTATTTGAACACATGACAGGTAAATAGAGTGTTGTTGTTTGTTGAGAAGGATTGTAATAAGGTAGGGGAGTGTTACTTTAGTTGAAAGGACCTCCTGTCCTCATCCCAATTGCTGCACACCAACTGAGGTACCCTGAATTCTTTTACTATATCTTTGAGGGTTTCATTATCTCTCCCAATCTAAATTAAAGACAAGGAGCAGCAAACTTTGTAGATTAGTCTTTTTTTTCATTTTATTCTTTCTTTATTCATGCCTCCTCATGGTCCTATTCTGTAGCAATTTTCCTTTCATAGAATCCCTCCGGTGTGGAAACAGGCCCTTCAGCCCAACAAGTCCACACAAACATCAGAGCATCCCACCCAGACCCATCCCCTTGTAACCCACCTAATCTACACATCCCTGAACACTACGGGCAATTTAGCATGGCCAATTCACCTAACCTACACATCTTTGGACTGTGGAAGGAAACCCACACAGACACGGGGAGAATGTGCAAACTCCACACAGACAGTCGCCCGAGGCTGGAATCGAACCCGGGCCCCTGGTACTGTGAGGCAGCAGTGCTGACTACTGAGCCACCATCTGATTGTCCACACAAACTCAACAAGAACACGGATATCAGAAAATAGTATACCATTTTCTATCCATTTGGAATGTTTCATCAACAAAATTGCCCCCAGCAACCAGTGTAGAAGGGGTTGGGGAGTCGAACCCCACCCTCTGTTTCTTCAGCTTCGATTATTATGCCCTCCCTCTTTTCCTCTTTATATTCCAGAAATAAGACCCAATGGGGCTAAAATGATTTTCACCTTGCCAAATCACCATTTCCTACTCGGCTATCTGTTGGCTCTACCAATCAATGCTTTCTCCAATTTTCTTCCCTTGCATAAACATTGACCTTTTATAGAGGTTTACAAAATCACAAGGGGCATGGATAGGGTGAATAGCTAAGGTTTTTTCAGAGGGTAGCAGAGTCCAAAAATAGAGGGCATAGGTTTAAGCTGAGGGTGGGAAAGATCTAAAAAAGATCTGAGGGGCAGTTTTCTCATGCAGAGGGTGGTGCACGTGCGGAATGAGCTGCCAGAGGAGGTGGTGGAGGCTGATATAATTGCAACATTTTAAATGGCACCTGGATGGGTATGTGAATAGGAAGGATTTAGTGATAGCAGCCAAATGCTGGCAAATGGGACTAGATTAATTTAGGATATCTGGTTGGCATGGACGAGTTGGACCAAAGGGTCTGTTTCCGAGCTGTACAACTGATTCTAAATATGCTGATTCATGTTAGTACGATTCCATGAGTAGTGATGCACCACTGACCCCTTGTGACTTATATTTGGACATAGTGAGTCTTGATTGAGGCTAAACATTAATACACCCATCCTAGCCTTTTCCTAACATCTGTCTGGTTTTTTGCAGACCTTGCTGGGAAGTGTTGAGAAGCAAGATTCTTCATTTCCACCCTTTAATGTTTAGCCTGGTGGCAATGCTCCAAATTCTGTGAACTTGCGCGGATGTGGGTTGAACTTTTAAAACCATAGGAACAAAGATAGGTTCAATAATATATCATGTTTCTTTTTTAATGCCCATTTAGGCAGATTTAAAGCTTTTTACAAGACTTATTATCTAAGTTTCCTTAATGACTAACTTATCTAGATCAATTTCAGCAACCACCCCTGAAACTTAGAAGGAATTTCAATTTGAGTAGATAATTATGCATGATGTGTGGAAGGAAATATTGAAGAATGAAATATTGACTTGGGACCACTTAACCAAATACAGAATAACTTGTATCATCTAGGATAAGGGGATCCTGCAGATTGAGTTTCCTCTCACAGGTCTAATGCACACTATGACTATGGAGTCCATGAAATGATTTGTAGTTTTACGATTTGTGGTTTTATGATTAGACAAAACAATCAAAATTGTAACCCAATATTTTCCTACATGTTGATGTATTGTTATCTTGTATTGTCCAAAGAACAGTTACACTGGACTCTATCATTTCTCTCTCCACAGATGCTGTTAGACCTGCTGAGTTTCTCCACTATTTTTAATTTCAGGTTTCCTGCATCCTTAGTATTTTGCTTTTACTTATTGATAAGTATCAGCTGCATTTACTTGACCTTTTGCTGTTGATACTGAGAGATATTAATTATCTTTCCACTGTGTTCTTTAATCTATAAATTGCTGTTCATCTCACAAAAACAAAGTCTTATTGTATTCGAGACTTAGTGAAACGGAGATACTTAATGTCATCTAATTGCCACATGGTGAAATCAGAATTGGCCACTCTAAGACAATTAAACTTGCAAATATTTTGTTTCTACCTACCATATGCCTGCCTACATTAATTTTTTTAAACCTTATTTCTTAAATCTCTTTCGAGTGCTAACTGTTCTGATAATGACCTCAACTTTACGTGATCTTGGTATTACTATTTTCTCTCTTCAGGTAGAAATTTGTGAATCATAATCTCTTTTTATTAGTTTAAGATTCTTTGTATAAAGTGAAGCTTGAAACTGTACGTAATCCAACTATGGCTTTGCAGCTTTTATAATCAATTCACCTTGATCTTTTCCATTGAATGCCAAAATAACATAAGACTACCAATGTGCAAAGAATTACTGCAGTGGACTAAACTTAGCAAGTTGTACATTTTCTGAAAAGTAAAATTAAACAAAGAACTGTAGATATTCGAATTAGGAAACAAAAATAAAATGCTAGTGAGACTCTGCAGGTCTGGCAGCATCTGTGGAGAGAAAGCAAAGTTAACATTGAGTCCACTGACCCCCTACTTCAGACTGTGAGGAGCTAGGGAAAGATGGTATATAAGCTGAAGGCATGGTGGATGGGAGCAGAAGTGAGCAGATAGGTGGAGATGGAACCTGGGTTTGACAATTTTCCACACTTCTGCCCTCTTCATATCTCTTCCATCTCACAACACTTGAGGCTGTCTGGTCCTCACTTTCTATTCCATCAGCAGCCACGTACAAAGGATCATAAGTCACCATTTTCACCACCACCAGACACTCACTCATTCCCCTTACCTTCCTTATCAGCATTTTTCAGGGATCACTCTGGTCCACTCCTCTGTACACCTCTCCATATCCCCAGGGCACCTTTGCATGCCATTACAGAAGGTGCAATGTCTTCCACCCCCTTCTGCTTCCCTGCACCCCCCCCACACACACCACCAACTGTTCCAGGTGAAGCAGCAATTTACCTGCACTTGATGCAATCTAGCCTATTGTACTCGCTGCTCACAATGTGGTCTCCTGTACACTGGAAGATGAAATGCTGACTGGGCAACTGCTTTGTTGAATACCTATGTTCTTCCCAAAAAAAATGATCTCAAGTTTCCAGTTGCCTGCCATTTCAACATGCCATCATGTTCCCTGGTCAACATGTGTCTTGGGCTTGCTGCAGTGCTCCAGTGAGGCTCGGTGCAAACTGGAAAAACAGCATCTTATTTTCCACTTGGGGACCCTACAACTTCCATAGAACCTGAACACTCTTGCTCTCTGTCTCATTGCCTGTCTCTCTTGTGCTCACATGGAATTGGGGCAAATGTTCTTTCCTAGTTGGAGTCGGACCTCTCTCACAAAGGAAAATAATTATTAGATTGGAGGTCAGTTCTCTCTGCAGTAGGATATCACTGCACTCTATCATAAAGTCAGAAGTTGGTATGTTCACTGCGTAATGTTCAGTGCTATGTCTCACCCCTCATACTGAATCAGTAAGGTTTAGATGGTGTCCAGGCAAATGCTGACAAATGACAAGTATCATTCGTGCTGCAGAAATGCCAGCCAATGAACCTTTCATGAGAATCGAAACTTCACCCTTGACATTCAATCACATTACCATTGCTGAACTCACCACTATTGACGTCACTGGGTCAAAATTGTGCAATTCCTTCTTTAATTGCATTTTGGGTGTGGTGAGCTATTTTCTTGAGCTGCTAAAGTCAATTTGGTGGACTTTAGCAGCTCAAGACGACAGCACACCACATTCTTGAGGGCAGTTACAGCTGGGCAATAAATGCTGGCCCAACCCATGATTGATGAAGGAATTCAAAAAAAATGCATGCTGAAGTGAGTAAGAGCATGGCAAAGGAAGTATAATGCAGATAGGTATGAGGTTATTCGCTTTGGGGAATTGGAGGTGCAGACTATTTCTTCAGGGTGAGGTTAACAAGTGTTAATGTGCAAAGGAATCTAGATGTCTTGGTTCATAGATCACTGAAAGCTAGCGTGCACGCATAGCAAGCTATTCAGAAGGCAATTGGTATGTGTTAACCTTTATCGCAAGAGGATTTCAGTAGAGTAGCAACGCACTCTTGCTTTAATTCCATGGAAAACTGGTGAGAGTCAGCTGCTGGTTCTTGCCCCCTTGCCTAAGGAAAGATGCACATACATTAGAGGAAGTGCAGCTAAGGTTCACCAGGTTGATTTGTGGAATTGAGTCCATCCTGCAAGGAGAGAGTGAGGAGACTGGGCCAGTATCCCCTGGAGTTTAGAATAATGAAAGTTGTCTCAAAAGTTTAAATTCTAAAGGAATAGACAGTGTTGAAGCAGAAAAGAATGTTTCACCTAGTTGTGGTGTCTAGAATCAGGTGATAGCTTTAGAATAAAAGGTAAGCCCATTTAGGACTGAGATGAAGAGGAACTTCATTCACACTGGTGAATCTAGCTCTAGTCATCATGTAAGTTCAAGACCGAAACTGATAGATTTCCAGGTATTAATGACTTAAGGTATCTGGGAACATTGTGGGAGTATGGTGTTGAGATAGATGACCGAGCGTGCTTGGAGGCTGAATGATCTACGCTTCCTCCGTTTGTTTTATTTTAGATTGTATGTAACTAATTTATCTTGTTCTGTCACCCTATGTTTACTGCTGTAGAATGCTTGGTTTTTGGTGGATCAAAAACCCTGGGCATGGAATGACTTTGTCATGTCCATTGAATAGGAATTTTGAAAGCACAAAGTCCAAAGTACTTTCTCTAGTTTCAAGAACAAGAGAAATTAGTCAAGTGGTAACTGCAGGCACATGATGACTTGCTCACACAATGAATGAATGCGCTTATCTGAGCGAAAATTGTCTTACTTAAAAAAAACATACGATAGAATTAAGCTTTTTTTTGAATGGATTGTTTCTGACTAATTGTTTGAGTTTAATTTGAAATAATATTTTGAGTAAGACTGAGCAGGTTTGTCAAGATAAAATCTTTTAATGGAACACTTTATTAATATTTACATCAGATTAGTCTGCCAGCTGATCTTTGGAAAGTGTACATGGCTATGACCTTTTAAGGTTTCACATATCTAACATTGTTGGGAGGTTCAATTTCCACATTTGCCTTTGAGCAAAATGATTTGGTATTGTAAAGACTACTTTGAACATTTTTCCTTGATTTGTCTAGACTCATTTACCCCTCTGAAGTGAGCAAATCGAGACTTGGGCTAATCCCAGAGATATTGAATGTTAGTGTTTTTCAGCCTGCTCTTGCACATAACATGTCACAGTTCAAATATTGCATACCTGTCTTCTGCATCTAATTAAATTCATTTAACAACACTAATAGCTAGAACTTCAAGGGCAGTGTTTTACAAATGTTTTCTTGACTTAAACCATTTTAATGCTTCAGACTTTGACTGGGTTTTGGGGTAGGCAGGGTTAAAAAACTTTCGAAGGGCTGAGGAAAAGTTATTGAATTGACGGAATGGGGGTTAAAATGGCTTTTAATCAACCACCGTTTGGACGAGATTGGTAAACATGAACGTTTTTATATAATTGTGTTATACAGCAGCAAGATTTCCAAGTAATTAATGCTTTTTATCTTTTTCTCTTACACCAGAGCGCTGTTTGTAATGGTCACTGTTTTAATTGCAGGATTTTGTCTATCATTTTGTTGCCTTCGTATTCTACTTTGGAGCGTCAGTCCTGGAAGCAGCAGTAACGGCTGCAGCTGCAGAACATGGCTTCATCAATGCAACTTCATCTGGTGTTGTGACCTTTGGAGAATACAGGCAGTACAGTATAAATGTTGTTGCTACGGTAGGTTTCTTTAATGTATTTAACCCAATACAAGAAAGGGCCCAGGTGATGGTGATGGCTGACTTGAAGGGAAGGAGACATTCCCTCTCGTTGGGAACAGCTGTTCAGAAACACTTCCCAGGACCTTACCAAGAAACGTATAAGCCCTGCCCTGATTTAACTTTCCAAAATGCAGCACCTCACATTTATCTAAATTAAGTTCCATCTGTCAATCCTTAGCCCACGGGCCCATCTGATCAAGGTCCTGTTATACTCTGAGGTAACCTACTTTGCTGTCCACTACACCTCCAATTTTGGTGTCATCTGCAAACTTACTAACCATACGTCCTACGTTCACATCCAAATCATTTTATATAAATGACAAAAAGCAGCAGACCCAGCACCGATCCTTGTGGCACACCGCTGGTCACAGGCCTCCAGTCTGAAAAGCAACCCTCCACCACCACCCTCTGTCTTCAACCTTTGAGCCAGTTCTGTATCCACATGGCTAGTGGATATCAATGATATCATTGATATCAAATGAAGCTGCAATATTTGTATCATTGATAGCCACAGATGAGGTGCTGGAAGACTGGAGGTTGGCTAATGTTGTGCCACTATTTAAGGGTAAGGGAAAGCCAGGGAATTATAGACCCGTGAGCCTGGCATCAGTAGTGGGCAAGTTGTTAGAGGGAATCCTGTGTGACAGGATTTGTATGTATCTGGAAAGGCAAGGACTGGTTAGGGATAGTCGACATGGTTTTCTGCTTTGAAAATCGTGTCTCACTAACTTGATTGAGTATTTTGAAGTGACAAAAGAGGATTGATGAGGGCAGAGCAGTGGGTGTGATCTATATGGACTGCAATAAGGTGTATGACAAGGCTCCTCATGGTGGACTGGTTAGTGAGGTTAGATCACATGGAATACAGGGAGAACTAGCCATTTGGATACAGAACTGTCCGAAGGTAGAAGACAGAGGGTGGTGGTGGAGGAGGGTTGCTTTTTGGACTGGAGGCCTGTGACCAACGGTGTGCCACAAGGATCGGTGCTGGGTCTGCTGCTTTTTGTCATTTATATAAAATGATTTGGATGTGAACGTAGGACGTATGGTTAGTAAGTTTGCAGATGACACCAAAATTGGAGGTGTAGTGGACAGCAAAGTAGGTTACCTCAGAGTATAACAGGACCTTGATCAGATGGGCCAGTGGGCTAAGGATTGACAGATGGAACTTAATTTAGATAAATGTGAGGTGCTGCATTTTGGAAAGTTAAATCAGGGCAGGACTTATACACTTATTGGTAAGGTCCTCGGGAGTGTTTCTGAACAAAGAGACCTAGGAGTGCAGATTCACAGTTCATTGAAAGTAGAGTCGCAGGTAGATAGGATAGTGAAAAAGGCATTTGGTATTCTTGCCTTAATTGCTCAGTGCATTGAGTATAGATGTTGAGAGGTCATGTTGTGGCTGTACAGGACATTTGGTTAGGACACTTTTTGGAATACTGTCTGCAATTCTGGTCACCCTGCTATAGGAAAGATGTTGTGATACTTGAAATGTTTCGGAAAACATTTACAAGGATGTTGCTAGGGTTGGAGGGTTTGAGCTATAGGGAGAGGCTGAATAGGCTGGGGCTATTTTCCCTGGAATGTTGGAGTCTGAGGGGTCCTTTATAGAGATTTATAAAATCATGAGGGGCATGGATAGGGTAAATAGCCAGTGTGGGGGAGTCCAAAACTAGAGGGCATAGGTTTAAGGTGAGACGGGAAAGATTTAAAAGGATCTAAGGAGCAATTTTTTAATGCAGAGAGTGGTGCACGTATGGAATGAGCTGCCAGAGGAAGTAGTGTACTGGTACAATTGCAACATTTAAAAGACATCTGGAGTGGTATAGGAATAGGAAGGTTTTAGAGGGATATGGGCCAAATGCTGGTAAATGGGACTAGATTTATTTAGGTTATCTGGTCGGGATGGACAAGTTGGACTGAAGGGTCTGTTTCCGTGCTGTACAGATCTATGATCCTAACTGAAGGGGGGCTGGGAAAGGAAATCCAAGAGTGAAGTCGAACGTTTTGAGGAAGCAGTGATTGGTTTAATGACTGAACTCTAACAAGGGAGTTTGGAAAAAGCTAGGGAAAAATTTGAGTTCACTGCGAGGTTGGTAGGTGGTTAAATTTGGTGTACGTTTTGGGGAAATTTAGCTTGGCACACTAGGGTTAAACAATAGGAAGCTAACTGATCAAATTGGTCATTAAGGTAATGTTCGTGAGATACTCACCCAAACTATTGAAATTGTGGGTGGAGAATGCTGGGCAGAAGGATTTTATTGAGACTGTTGAAGTGTGGAGCAGAAGCTGGGATTTACCTTTTTGAGATGTCCGTTTTGGCAGAGGAGAGTAGAACCAGTGATTCTTGGTGTAGTGAAGGCAGCTCTGATGCATGGATGGAAACAAAGGTTAAGGGAATCCAACACCAGCTGCACTTGAGGACACTTTGTGGCAAGTTCCAGCTATTGTTCATTACTTTGAACTTTGTAGTTGGGACCAAGTGAAGAGCATCTTTTTCTGAAGAAGGGTCCCAAGCCATAACGTCAACTTTCCTGCTCCTCTGATACTACCTGGCATGCTGTGTTCCTCCAGCTCTCCACCTTGTTATCTCTGACTCCAACATTGGCAGCTCTTACTATATCTAAGACCATGTTGGTGTGGCATTGTGTCTCTTGAACTATAGAAATGATTTACTTATAAAAAAAAATCCTTTATTTCTAACAATATTGGAGCCAATCCAACAAGAGGGTGTGCATTGCATATATCCACTTCCTCAAAAAGGTTTGCATTAGTTAATGTTTCCACCGAGGTCCCATCAGGTCCATTGTGTTTGTTTCATATTTAAGATTGTGCAACTGTACCTGCAATTTGAACAGAAACTGGTACATAAAAGTAACACTTGAGAAAATCTTTGGAGATTTAGCTCTTAGGAATAGTCTTAGTCTTATGGGCTCTCAAACTTTTTAATTGAGTAAATAATTATAAGTTCCTACTTTTAATTCAAAGCAATTCTTTTAAGTGGTGTATTCCTGATGATCTTCAGCTTGCACTAGTTGGAGTCTGGACTGTGAATTATTGTAACATAATTCTGTAGTTACTTACCTATTATGCTGAAAAGAGAATTTCCATGAAAGGCATCTCTTGAGAAACAAGGTTGTTCTTGGTCCTTGATGGATGCACTTTGAAATCTTTCCATCTACCCATTTGTTCTAACATTGAATGTTTTCTCTGCAGAGAATTTGTTTTATTATTCCTTCACAGGTTGGATCACTGTAGATGGAAAAGGTCTAATGTGATATACGGTTATTAAACCGAACAATCAGAGCAGAAATGAGTGCTTTGTATTCATTAATGATTTAGATTATAGATTAGAGAAGGATAACCCAAATGTGCAGAAGTAGTTAAAATGTATCCAAGTAGTTAAAAGAACTAAAGAAAGTTGCGGGAGATACAGATGAGATGTGGAATGGGAAAATTGTTAAATTGAATTCAAAATCAGTAAATGTGAAGTAGTATATTGGGTAACTAAGTAACCTGAAGAGCACAAATTTGGGATGCACATTTGCAAGGAATTAAAAGCATGATCTGCAATGTATGTAGTCATAAAAATTATTTGAATACTGGACTTGAAAGCTACAACTGTAGAATATAGGTCAAGATATGATGCAAATTTTTAAAAACCACACTACACTCTGTAGCTTTGTGCTCAATGCAATGAGAAAGAGACTTGAAATTAAGAAACAATACAGATTTTTAAACCTCTGCCCATTTGGGAAAGACAAATATTACAATATTAAATATTAAAGTAGCTCAAATATTTGGTTTATATTGGAACAAAGAGACTAGGTGTTGATTTTGTTTTTTGTTCAGAAGCAGTAGGAGCCAGGGAGGCAGTGGCGTAGTTGTGATGTCCCTGAACAAGTAATCCAAGCCTAATGTTCTGAGGATGTAAATCTGAATCTCACCATGGCAGATGGAGAAATCTGAATTCAATAAAACAAATCTAGAATAAAAAGCTAGCCTGATGGCGACCATGTAGTCATTGTTGTAAAGTCTGATTGACAAATGTCCTTTTAAGGGAAGGCAATCTGCCATCCTAGCCTGATCTGGCCTATGGGTGGCTCCAGATCCACAACAATGACTGTTGACTATCCTCTCAGCAATTAAGGATAGGGGAAGGATCAATAAATGCTGGTCTAGCCACTAATGCCCACATCCCATGGATGAGTAATTGAAAGAAAATCAGACTGGGTAACCAATTTCTAGTGATGGCTCCAGAACACACAATATATCCATTTTAGTGGTTTGTTGTTGTGGGATGCTAATTTGTGGAAGCGAGAATATTTACATTTAAGAATGATCATGTAGATGGCCGACAGGAAAATAAACGACGGCTTTGAAGGATGTATGAGATTAGGGGTACTGCTCACACAAACACAGACTAGTTGGGCCAAAAAAATCCATGATGTAGTTTACTTCCATTTTAGAAATCAACTAGACAATTATACAGAGAAATGCAACGTAGCCACATGTTAAATTAAAAACTGCTTTGTTTTAATAGGCAATATTTCTCCTTTTATTTCAGATATTCTGTTTTGTTGTTACTCTGTGTTACGCCTGCAGTTTGGGTCTTGCTTTGAGGAGATGGAAGCTGTAAATCACAAGATGCGAACTGTTTGGGAGGGTGTGGATGGCTGGATTCATTACCATTGGCACAACATCCTTGAAGACACTGAAGTTACTTCCCAAGAGAGGGGTGGTCCTTTTGTAGACTAATTCTGTTTAATACTGAAGTATTTTTGCAGCAGCGATGGATTTTGTTTATAAATTAATAGCTTTTTTATGATCATTTTCAGTGTTAAGTTCAGAAGTTTGTGAAATAGAATAAAATAGTTTCCACTTTATTTGAACGTTGGGTGCTGTTATCTAAATATTTATAGTTTCATAAACACAATATTCCAATACTAGTAAGAGCAGGAGTTCATTTACTGTAAACCTCCACTTTGAGAAAATGAAAGGCTCCAAAGAGATTAGCTGGAAAAAATCAGACTTTATCTGTTATTTGGTTGTGAGCACTCCTTATTTCCTTTGTAAATGCTAATTATTTTCATTGTGTAATTAAGACTGTGATCACTTAGAAGTAAACCTTTTCTAAATTTGCAAAGATTGCATACTTAACCATTGGAATTTTCATAAATATTGTTTACAGGATATACAATTAGTATGCAAGAGAGTTGAATCTTGAGTGCAGAATGTGTTGCAATTGCAACAAAATATTCCAATTATATTTTCTCTCTTGAATTTTCAGGAACCCTTTTTAAGTACCTACGTTTCACTAATAAGCTTGTGTGTCTTGGACACATTGAGTCTGAAATGGTTTTGCCAAGCCTGAACTGAGACTCAACATCGGTGAATTGATGCTGTTCATAACCTTGTAAATAAAGCTTTCTGAAAAGGTATTTCCCAATAATAATGAACTGCTCCATACACATCAAGCACTTAAACATTTTTTTGAAAAATGCAGAGGGCTGGGACATATTACAGGTTGGAACTTGCCAAAGTTTATTTTTAGAAAACCAGTTTCTTCTCCATATTGTACAGTTTCATTAAAATTTTTGTAAAAATTTTGTGTTGTAATCACATCTTAGGAATTTACTTTCCAAATCAAAAGCCAGTGAGAAGTCACTCTTGCATGCGATATAAGCCAAGATTTCAGGCCATGATTTTCATGACCTGTATCTAAATTTTTTTCTATTGGATCTGCCAGAATCCAATATTTTACAATGACAATTGCAAAGAATAAAGTTTGCCTTTTTTCCCTACTTACTCACGGACGTGGATGTCATTGACGAGGTTCATATTTATTGTGCTTGAAAAGATGGTGGTCAGCTGCTGCCTTAATGTGGCGTAGGTAGACCCACCGTGTTAGATAGTTGCAGGATTTTGACTCAGCAGTGAAGTAAAGACAGTATATTTCCAAGTTAGGATAGTGAGGCGTAGAGAGGAACTTGCGGTGGTGGTCTTCCCATGTATCTGTGGCCCTGACCTTTTAGACAGTACAGCGAGTAGATTTAAGAGATGCTGTTGTAGGAACCGTGGTGAAAGCCGCATGCATCTTGTAGATGATCTTGTAGCCTTTGTGTTTATGGTGAAGGGAAAAAAGAAGTGTAAGGTGTTAGTTGGGGTGCCATTCAAACAGACTGCTTTGTTGTTTAAACTCCTTGAGTGTTGATGAAGTGGCACTAATCCAGGGAACGGTGTATTCCATCACACTCCTGACTTTACCTTCATAGATGGTGAACAGACTTTAGAGAGTTTGGTGACCATGTTGCTATGGAAATTCCAGTCTCTGACTTATTCTTATAACCACAGTATTTATGGCTGTTCCAGTTCAGTTGGTGAATTGTAACCCCAGGGATATTGATTGGAGATTGTGATAGCAATGCTATTTGAATGTCAAGTGGCAATGGTTAAATACTTTCCTGTTGATGGTCATTGCCTTGTACTTGATTGGCACAAGTGAAATACACCACTGAGTAGCAGCAGTTTTACAAGTTAAATTCAAGCACTTCCTGATTTTCCAAATTAAAAATCTGAAGGAAGAACAAGAATTTCAGATTGCAACTGGCTGTTCTCAGAACAGTCTGTATTTGTTAGTGTCATGGTCGTGGAGGTCATCCATAGAACCCATTCAGTCATCTCAAAGCAAACATTAATCAGTTACCAATTAACTCAGCTTGGTCAGTTAATTTTGTGAAACTCTCTGCACCAATTGGAGATGAATGGAAGTTTCTTCCTGCTTTCCCTGTTTTCCACACCCCCCCCCCCCCCCCCCAAAACCCCACACTCACTATGGTGAATCAATTTTAAATTGTTTACATAGTGTTTTATTTCAAGTGGCTTCCTTACCTTAGTTGTTGAAAACCTGCACTGAGTAAAGTTAGTAATCCACAAAACCTTTTTGGGTGTTCACTTTCTTGAGCAGTGAGTTAATTATCAAAAATAATCTGCTGTGTGCCGCATTTTAGCCTACATTCTGTCTGCTGGTGAATTACTTTTGTTCATGAGATTATTCAGAAACTCATAACTGAGTAGCATGTTCATTACTTCCAAACACTGCCCACCAATTTCAGGAAAATCATTTGAAAAATGCTGTAGTTCCCACTATCCATTAAACTTCAGTGAATGGGAGAGGAGTCCTTTAAATCAAGCTATTATTTACTACATGTAATCTCCAGAAACTGATCCTGTATCATATTAGCAATTACTTCAAGTGACTGACGCCTTCATAGCAATGTGACTATTGAAAGTTAAAACTTGTCACAAGCGATGCAAGGATTTTTTAAGTTCGAGGAATTTCGTTTTGTGTTTGTAACATCTATATTATGAATGAATATTTTAACTTCCATCACCCAAATTACTGTTATGATGCAGCCACTCATTGCTGCTCAATTACCTACCTGAAGATGGCTTTATTGTACAGATTTGCATTAAATTTGTGGCATTTTAAATTCTTTATTAAAGGTCGATTGCAACGGTAATTCTGTACTGAAATCATTTTACTGTACCTGCATATTTTTGTGATTTGATCTGGAGGAGTTGGCATTGTTACAGGTCAGCATGTCTTGCATCTCTAGGAAGCCTTTTGCTGATGGCAAACTGATTTCTTGAACTGCTGGAATGCATATGGTGTGTGTACACCCTTTGTTCTGCTGTCAGTGTTTGAGGATTTTGACCTGGCAACAAAGATACAGAAATATTTCATGTTCACGATGGTGCGACTTTAAAGAACTTGTAAGTGGAGTTGTTTCCATATGTCTGCTGCCCTGAACACCCATATGGTTATGGAGCGTGTTGGATCTGGCTGATGATATAGGAGCTGCCGAGAGGTTTTACAATGGGCTGTATGGTGAGTGAAATTACACGGAGTCATTCAGGTCTGCTAAGATTGCAGGAAATCAGTAGCTACCGAATAAGAACAAAACATTGGTCACATGCATGAATAATTCCAAATAAGGCATATACTTGGCACAGAGACCTGTGTATAAAGCAGCCCAGAAAATCCTTAATTTTTCAGCAGGACTTTGAAGTGTATCTTCTGCAAAGTTATCCACGTCAGGAGGCATGGTCAAGACATCGCTAAGAGTTCCATCCTGGCCAGCTGCCAACTCTCCCGGGTAGTAACATTTGGGATAACAAGGTGTGGAGCTGGATGAACACAACAGGCCAGGCAGCATCAGAGGAGCAGGAAAGCTGACGTTTCGGGTCTGGACCCTTATTCAGAAATGGGGGAGGGGAATGGGGCTGTGAAATAAATAGAGAGGGGACACGAACTGAACGTAGGTGCTCCACGAAGCGGTCTCCAAGACCTTTGTGGAGCACCTACGTTCGGTTCGTGCCCCCTCTGTCTCTTTATTTCGGAGCCTCCTTCCCCTCTCCCATTTCTGAAGAAGGGTCCAGACCCCAAACATTCGCTTTCCTGCACTTCTGCTGCTGCTTGGCCTGCTGTGTTCATCCAGCTCCACACCTTGTTATCTCAGATTCTCCAGCATCTGCAGTTCCTACTATCTCTGAATAACATTTGGAGTTAGTCACAGAACTCAGCTAGTGAAAGACAGTGATTGAGATATCTCTAGTAGTTAAAAGCGTGTGTTACTCATCTAACAAATTGTGTTTTATAGAGCTCGATGTATCTTAGGCTGTGTGTATATTGTTGTCTCAGATGGGTAACAGGCAGCACAGTGGCTCAGTGGTTAACGCTGCTATCTGTGTGGAGTTTGTATGCTCTCCCCATGTTTGTGTGGGTTTCAACCAGGTGCTCCGATTTCTTCACACGGTCCAAAGATATGCAGGTTAGATGGTTTGACCATGCTAAATGCAGGGTTGCAGGAATAGATTGTGATGCTCTTCGAAGGGCTGGTGTAGGCTTGTTGGGCCAAATGGCCTATTTCTGCACTGTAAGGAGTCTGTGATATGAATGGTATGGTTGAAGAAGCCTTTAAACTGCTGTGATCCATACTATAGGTAGTGGTTATTGAAGTCAAGGTGTATTTGATGTGTGAATAAATAATTAAGGCTATACATGAGTAATCGCTAATCCCCACCCCAGCCCCACAGCTACTGGGTATAAATGACAGATCTCACAGGTAATGCCTTTCTCACAATTAATTTCTTTTAATGTGTTACTGTTGCTAGTGGAAACACAATCAGTGTATGTAAACCATGGTCCTAGAAACAGCAATGGCCAAGTCTACATTTAGTGATGTTGATTGAGGATGACCAGCACACTGAGAATAATCTGGAAAAAGCTGGCCCAGCTGGGAGAAAAGTTGGGGTTTGGCTTAATATTCAGTTCAAAAGGCAGTACTCCAATGCTGTGGCTGTCAATGCAGCACTTGTGTTTATGTAGATTTTTGTGATTTCAGTCTCCGGAAAGGCATTTAGAATCATAGTCTTCTAACTCCAAGTTAAGTACACTCATTAATTTTCTGTCTTGTGTGAACTAAAAGTTGTCTGATAATATATGGAAAATGTTTATTGGATGGGGCTGTGATTTTTAACTTTTTGTTGCGTAGATGCTGTTTTATTTTGTGCTGAGCAGGTGCAAGTATAATGATGCCACAGGAGACATTTCATGGATGAATTGACTCATCAGACATCAATAAGATCCCATCTGTGAAGTAGAAATACTGTAATTTCTTTGGTAAGCCCCTGAGAGGCTGCAGAACTAGGAATGACCTAGAGGTTTTCCCCAAAGTGCCTTTAGAAAAGGTAGAAGAGCAGATTGACTTTGACCTTTTTTCCATCTACAGTGATGTCCAAAAGTAAATACTTTTTTAGATGAAAAGATGTTTCAGAAACAAAAAAGCGCTTCAGAAACGTGCGATTTTAGCCATTGTTGAGA